CTTGCTTTGCATGTAATGAGTCTATCTCATATATTAGTTTCACCTTTTAAGTTGCATTACTGAAATAAATAAACTTTTGCACAATATTCAAATTTTTTGAGTTTCACCTGTATTTGAACATTCGCCCTTGGGAGTCCTAAGGATTGTGAATAGGTCTAAAGCTGGCCTTTTCTATAGTGCCAACTATTGTATTTGGACATTTGGCAGCAGTTGCATCCTCAGCTGACAGAGTACTCAAAATCCACCTGACTGAATGCAGGTGTTGTTTGGCCAACAATTTTATGCCCAGCTCCTAAAACTAAAATTGATGAAAAATCAACTTCTCTTGAGCCAGGTGGGCCAATAGGGCAACTTGTGTATCAAATTTAATCTGATTCTTTGTGTGGACAGCTTAAAGCGAAGTTCCAGTGAAAAAAAATAAAAGTCAGCAGATACAAAAACTGTGTTCCCGGCAACAACATCTTCAGTGTGTGCACCCGGCTGTTAAAGCTTGCGGCTTCACAGCCAGGTGCTCACTTCGCATGCACAAGTAGCGCTGTGCTTTGTGAATGGTCCCGTAGTCTTCTGGGAACTGACACGTGTCACAGAAGACTACGGGGAGGGAAAGGGGGAGGACAACTTCCGCTTCCGATCGCCTAGGAAATTTCAGCAGAAGTGGGAGCGGGTACCTGTCAATTTTGGGTACCTGCTCCCCAAAGGTGCCAATCCTTAACGGGGGATCAGTCCTTAAAGTGAAACTTCCCCTTTCGGGTGGAGCTCCGCAATGGGAAACTATAAAACATAAAAGTGCAGCAAATTATAATTTAATATAAAAGAAATGCACTTACATTTTCTCCATAAAAACAGACATGTCCAAATGTACCTTGTCATTTACAGGTGTCCTCGGATTGTCTTCTACTCTTTATAACTCTGCTCAGTGAGGAGGGTAATTCTGTACAGGAAAGAGATATACTGTAGATAGCAAAACTGGATATAGGTGTTGGGCTCTACTATAGTAACCCAGATCCTCTTGTCCCTACTTATGCGTCTAAGTATCCCACCCCCTCTGATGGGTTACAGTCTATCTATCTATCTATCTATCTATCTATCTATCTATCTATTTCCATCTGGCTGGCTGTATGCCTTTGATAAATTTGCTCACCGTTTGTATCTCTATTCTGATGTGCCTGACTTGGAATGAAAGATTTGAAAAAATAGAAGGCAAATAAAACCATGTTATAACTTACCTTGTTGCTGGTGTCACTGCTGTCAATCAGTGCAGCTTGATTCCCTGGCTTCATAGGTAACATAAAAGCCTTGTGAAGAAGTCGGGTTATGTGACTGCAGGGCAGATATGCTGTCAAATAATCAGGAGAGTCCTGAGACGACTATACATCTATAAAGTATGCATTAAACACTGTGGGGTTTATTTACTAAAGCTGAAGAGTGCAAAATCAGACTCCCTTCTGCATAGAAACCAATCAGCTTCTAACCTCAGCTTGTTCAATGAAGCTTTGGCAATGAAACCTGGAAGCTGACTGGTTTCTATGCAGAAGGGAGTCTGACTTCGCACTCTCCAGCTTTAATAAATAAACCCCTATGTATTTAGTTCATTTAGGGCACTCATTTGTCGTACTGATGGTAGAAACAGTATCAGGACTTAGCCCTGGTCAACACTGATGTGGTGCGGAATTTGCAGCGTTTTCTGTGAGAATTCTGCACCGCATCAGAATTGCACCCCGTTCATGCGAACCGCTGCGGGTGTGTATGTTAAGTTAACAACACCCCGAGAGCGGTCTGCAAAACGCGGTGTGATGTGCAGAATAGAATTGCATAGGTGGGAATACCCATGCGATCCGATTCTAGTGCGGACTCAAAAAAGGGTCCTGCACGTTTTCGGTGCGGGTGCAGTGCGATTACAGCCATGCAAAATGTATGGCTCCAATCGAACCGCACACTGCACAGCACAGCCATCCAGAATAGTGTGCTTACAGTGAAGCACACACCCCCGCCCCTTAGTAAAACACTCCCTTTGAGTGCCCCTCATATTAACCCCTTCCTGTCCAGTGCCATTAGTACAGTGTCAGTGCCTGTTTTTAGCACTGATCACTGTATTGATGCAACTGGGGATGTCAGTTGCACCAAGTCAGTTCCCCCCAGTGTCAGAATGTCTGCCGAAGTCCCGCATAAAAGCCGCTGATCGCCGCCATTACTAGTAGAAAAAAAAAAAATCCCAGTATCTATACCGCCATTTGTAAACACTATAACTTTCACGTAAACCAATTAATTTACACGTATTGGGATTTGTTTTAGCAAAGACATGTCGCAGAACACAGTTTGGTATACATTTATGATCAAATTTAATTTTTTAAATTTTTTTATTGGACATGTTTAATAGCAAAAAGTCCAAAACATTGTTTTTTTTTCTCTAAATTGCCAGTCTTTTTTTTTTATAGCACAAAAATTAAAAAACTCACAGGCGATCAAATGCGACCAAAAGACAGCTCAATTCGTGGGGAAAAAAGGACGTAAATTTAATTTGGGTGCACCGTTGCATGACAGCGCAACTGTAAGTCAAAGTAACGCAGGGCCGTAACACAAAAAATGGCCTGGTCAGGAAGGGGGGTAATTCCTCAGGAGGGTAAGTGGTTAATAACCCTTTTGTATACAGTAAGTTCTAATATGCCCATTGCAAAAGTGCAGTGTATGTGATGTTTAATACATTGACCTTTTCCTCTTCCACCTCCTGCTGGCATCACTCTCCAGGCTGCTAGAAAAGTCCCAGGTGAAGTGAACTTGGTATCACTCTGCTTGGGACAGGAGCCGATACTTCAGAGGAAGCATCAGCTTATGTGGCTCCTGCTGCCTCTGTGGGTGCTTGCTTTGTCTGCTTCAGGCACCAGCTCCATGCACTCTGATGCTGTGGAATGGCAGGTCAGCAACCTGTTGACTGCAATCTCAGCTTGTTGAGCCGGGCATGCGCTTCCATGGTTTGAGATTGCCGACCACATCAGAGGGCTCCACGAGCCGTAGGTCGAGCACGCCTGGCCTAGAGATACACTTTAAAGCAGGGGTGTCAAACTGGTGGCCCTCCAGCTGTTGCGAAACTACAAGTCCCATCATGCCTCTGAGACCTTTGGGAGTCATGCTTGTAATTGTCAATATTGAAATGCCTCATGGGACTTGTAGTTTGGCAACAGCTGGAGGGCCGCCAGTTTAACACCTGTGCTTTAAAGCATCTGTCCATTTTTATTCTCAGCTGTGTTCCTATTTTGGAGATTTTTCGAAATCTTTTTAAGAGAGGCACAGCCAATAGAAAATACGCATTTATTGTGAAGTGGGGAAGCTTTAGAACTTTCACTGCTTTCATTAACTTTTTGCCTTCCACTTCTTGTGCAGGGGTCAAAGTGACAAGAAGTGAGAGAAGATCTTTCCTGTTCAGTGCCAGACAGAAGTATAAACTAAAGCATAAACATACCAGGGATGCTAAAACAAATGTAACAGAGCAAAAAATTGCTAAATTGTTCATACAATTATCACATAATACAGCCAATGTGTTTTGGGGTCCAAACGCACCCACCTTAATCAGGACTCAGTAACTTTACCAGGGCTTAAATGTTTGGTAAAGTCCATTAAGCCCTGTAAAATGTGTTGGATGTTATATGTGATCATGTTATGAACAATTAAAGCATTTTTGGACTCTTTCACCATTTGGGTGTTCCTCGTGTATGTTTAGGCTTTGAGTCACATTCTTGGTATCCACCAGAGGGAAGCCTTGTTTCATGCAAGCAGCCTGCCAAAGAGTCAGCTTATCGAATGATTACGGTATTCCCATTTTTTGGAATGACAATGTATTGAAGTCCCAGCACCTTTTTTTTAAGATGTACAAACCAGGCGGAAATAAATAACTCTTTCCCATGCTACAATATGAATATGATATATAACACCAACACCTGCTCCAGGTTGATCCATACATAGACATCCCAGTAGAACATAGGTGAATATCTAGGCTTTTTCCCAGCCTCAACAAGATCCAAATGAAGCAAAAGGAAAAGCAAAAAGTTATTTGTCATAGAATGCCTCCCCTTTCTACCATAAGTGGAGTTAGAGATATGAATTGAGCAAAGGAGGGTTTCTACTTTTACAATAAAAGGAAAAATGTGTCCAAATGCCAACAATGCTGCTTGGCGCAATGCTTAGAATCTCCCCTTTTCTCTTTTATTGGTGCTGCTGAGTAGTTTCAAAACTGCTCGGGCATCTTTGGCTTGATGTACTCTGGCCTAGATTATCTATAGTTTTTCAGTGTGGGCTGAACCTTGCAAAGTTAGGTAGCATTGAAAACCAGTGCAATAGTTTTCTAAATCTAGGCTGTTTTGCACCAAAGAAACATAGCAGCTTTATACGGCGGTAGGCCTATTCACTGCGGCAATGTGTGCATTACTACCTATGTTGCTGTAACAGGCAGCAACACAAATTACTTTCAGTGGTGTGATGTGATGCCACTAATTCTGTACAATAGATGTACAGTACATTGCAGCATAGCACAGTACAACGTACGTTGTGGTGCAGTTGTAGGTGAAGCCCACGTGTTGGATACCCCGAGGGGAGGAAAGACACACGGAGAGATTGGAAGGAAGTGTAAAAATGTGAAAGTTCCAACAACACAGTGATATAGTCTATGTGGCAGAAACGAACTGGCCATCAACACTTACAGAGAACAATACAGCAATTGCAGAGAGCTGTATTCTGATGCCGGCAACATCTGGCAGAAGAGGTGGCTAGAAGGCGACAATGCAGCAAGGCATATATAGCAGAAAGGCTCCTACTGGAGTACTGGTAAGCAGTCCCTATTCTGTCCCTCCTCCACTGGAACCTCTCCCTACGCTAGCAACACTCTCCCTAACCAGTGGGTTTCTGTTCTTGGCCTGACCACAGTTAAAATGCGCACCAACTGTAGCGAGCCAATGGTTTTTTATAAACACTGCCCTCAATAAAGATGGCCGCTGAGGTAATCCAGGGGAGCAGCGTTCAATCAGACAGCTGCTCACCTGATAACACCCACTGATGCCTGAGAAGAACATGAGTTCCTCCCAGGGGCGGACTGACAACTCATGGGGCCCCCGGGCAATAGGGGATCATGGGGCCCCTCTGTCCTTGCCCAAACTCAAAAAAGCCTATGAAAAAGGTACCAGGGGCATCTCATTGGGCCCTCTACTGACCCCAGGCGCTCGGGCAGTGCCCGAGTTTCCAAATGGTCAGTCTGCCCCTGGCTTCCTCCTGTCCTTCACTCTCTCTACATGGTCGTAGCTGAGCGGCGCCACCTGTTCAGGAGGTCAAATTACACCCATCTAAACGGTGCACTGCAAAAATGGTACATGCACCTCTTTGGTGATGCACTGTGATGCAACAAAATAGGCTGCTTTACAAATGCTAACACATGAAATACTTCCCATAGACTTGCACCTAGGTTTATTAAAAAAGCCGATCAGCAGGAGTCTTGAGTAGCAAGACCCTTGGCGAGAAACTGTACCATTTTTTTTACTGAAAGTGCAAAACCTTTTAAAACCCTTTAAACTTGCAGCTTAAATTGGCTGCATGCATTTCATGGGTGCGTCAAAACAGTCAGCAGAGAGCAAGACCTTTGTTGCCTGCAAAGCTATAGGTCTGATTTAGTCTGGGGTAGTGTGAAGGACATCTGAGAGAAGCTACTGTCCTTCTCTGCCTTTCTATTCAAACTGTGGCTGCTTTAGAATGAAAACAAACTGTAAGAAATTGAACACCACTTGATTTAATGCACCTGGAATGTATTTAGCTGATCTAAACTGACCGATCGATTAGGCTTTAACATGGAACTTCATTAAGTTTTTCTTTTTTTTAGTGTTTGTTGTCTTTGTCCTTGTTGGAGAGATTTTTCTTTAATTCCTATCCTACTGACACAACAGAAAGTGAGGGGAAATCAAAGCAAAGATAAACCAGGACAGCTTTCCCATTTATAAATTTACCCTCTACACCCAGTGGCGGCTATCTATGGTAAGGTTTCCTTCTCTTCCAGTGAAAAGTGGTGCTTGAACAGATACATTCCAAACTTTAACATCAACAAAAACCTGACAGAGTTCCTAGCTTTTCCCCAATCTAAAAAAGTACTATCTGGAATACTACTTTAAGATTCAGCTGATAGGTATGTACATATTCAGTCCCAAGAGATAAAAAAGGACTGCTGTTTGCGGCAGAGGAAAAACTTTTGCTTAATGGACCACATGTACGTAATTCATGGTTATCTGTAAAAGAAGGACTCTAGGGAAATGTAAAAGTAAAAAACTCGATTTAGTACATATATTTTAGTCATTGAAAAGATGCTAAACAATATTTATTTCCTGTACTCTACAGAGCAGACATATTTAGCAGCATTTTACATAAAGCAGAGTACATAAACTGCATCATTCCCTTCCCCAAAGGACTTTCCAGTCTAATGTTCCCAGCACAGTCATAGACAGACATGCTCTAGTGCTCTTTTGGTTGAGTCACCAGTATGCAAATTTGATATGATCTATACTGAGTGGAAATGTGCAGCTGTCATGAAACTGTCTTGTTAGTCCAACCAGAAGATATTAGGTGCATAATAATAATAAATAATATATATATATATATATATATATACACACTATATTGCCCAAAGTATTGGGCCAGCCCTCCAAATCATTGGATTCAGGTGTTCCAATCACCTCCATGGCCACAGCCATGGATAAAATAAATGTATAAAATCAAGCCCCTAGGCATGCAGACTGCTTCTACAAACATTTGTGAAAGAATGGGTCACCTTCAGGAGCTCAGTGACTCCAAGCGTGGTGCCGTGATAGGTTGCCACCTGTGCAATAAGTCCATCCGTGAAATTTCCTTGCTACTAAATATTCCACGGTCAACTGTTAGTGGTATTATAACAAAGTGGAAGCAACTGGGAACAACAGCAACTCAGCTACAAAGTGATAGGCCACGTAAGATGACAGAGCGGGGTCAGCGCATGCTGAAGCAAACAGTGCACAGAAGTCGCCAACTGTCTGCAGAGTCAATAGCTAAAGACCTCCAAACTTCATGTGGCCTTCAGATTAACACAACAACAGTGCGTAGAGAGCTTCATGGAATGGGTTTCCATGGCCGAGCAGCTGCATCCAAGCCTTACTTCACCAAGTGCAATGCAAAGAGTCGGATGCAGTGGTGTAAAGCATGCTGCCACTGGACTCTAGAGCAGTGGAGACGTGTTCTCTGGAGTGACAAATTATGCATCTTTTTCTGGCAATCCAGTGGACGTGTCTGGGTTTGACAGGTGCCAGGAGAACTGTACTTGCCTGACTGCATTGTGCCAAGTGTAAAATTTGGTGGAGGGGGAATTATGGTGTGGGGTTGCTTTTCAGGGGTTGGGCTTGGCCCCTTAGTTCTAGTGAAGGGAACTCTTAAGACTTCAGCATACCAAGACATTTTGGACAATTTCATGCTCCCAATGTTGTGGGGAGCAGTTTGGGGATGGCCCCTTCCTGTTCCAACATGACTGCACACACCAGTGCACAAAGCAAGGTCCATAAAGACATGGATGAGTGAGTTTGGGGTGGAGGAACTTGACTGGCCTGCAGAGTCCTGACCTCAGCCTGATAGAATACCTTTGGGATGAATTAGAGTGGAGACTGTGAGCCAGGCCTTCTCATCCGACATCAGTACCTGACCTCACAAATGTGCTTCTGGAAGAATAGTCAAACATTCCCATAGACACCCTCCTAAACCTTGTGGACAGCCTTCCCAGGAGAGGTGAAGCTGTTATAGTTGCAAAGGGCGGGCCAACTCAAATATTAAAAAATGCAATCTTAATTTAGGCTAAAGCAATAGTAAAGTATTGTCCCATTATTAACAATCAATTAAGAGCTCACTCAGGCACTGAGACCCATCCTGCATGCTGAGCCACTTTTTGCTTCATGTGCATCTACCACAGAGCTGAGTACAGGAAGCCATTAGAAGTGGTTGCAGACGCAGTGGCTACACGGACGCGCTCGCATGTCAAAATCTGACATGCAGGCAGGTGCAGGTGCATGGATCTAATGCAGACACTGTGCAGCATACCAATCATTAAATGTGGTAGCTGCATTCATTTTCTTTTTTAGGCTTTTTTCTTTATTTTCATCTGGTGATCAGACCAGTAACACGTTCTGTCTTAGAGTGTCTCCACTCTGGATGGAAAAGCAATAGAGACACCTTTGGACAACAGCATCTTTAATATGGGGAGAGGGTAGTGTTGGGTGAACTAGCAAATAAAGAAGGACTTGAATAACAAAACAAAAGGTGGTTGTAAGCATCAGGCATGAAAAATGGAAGCATATCCCTCTATAGTGTGTGCTTGTCTCTATCCACAGCACTAAGTGACATTTCCGTCCACTGCCTCATTCCTCTGCTATAGGCACAAGTAATTTCTGATGAGTTTTCCTGACACGCAGAGAAAAAGGGGACAGGAGAGGGCACAGCCTGTGATTGATAGCCTCAGTTCTGTCCTGAGTACTGTGAAAAGGTGGTGGTGGTGGTGGTGGGGGGGGGGGGGGGGTTCCCTTCCCTCCAATCAGCTCGCAGAGCTCTCCTTACTGATGTAGTTTCAGTTCTTTTCCTCCTGCTTATCAGAGCTGAGAGATCCTGTGTAAATTCTGCACTTTGAATGGAAGTAGGGTAAAGATGGTGTAGCTAAATATGTACAACTTATGTAGCAGGATTTCTTTATGTATCGCCCGAGGCTAGTCACTTCATTGGGTATATGTGAGGGCTCGTTCACACCATGGTGCAGAGACATCAGTTTTTCTGCATGCATTCTGCAAGGGTACAACTAATCACAGCTGATCACTGGTTAAATAGGAAATGCCGGCTATCGGCAGTCCTCTGTTCTCGCTGACAGCGCATGTGGAGAGGAGAGCCGTTAAGCAGTATTCAGGCAGCAGTGGGTGCTGTAGCTGTCTGAATACAATCGTTGGCAGAGGGGATTCCTCCATCCATGTTGTTTAACTTGGATGGGGAACTCAACTGATTTCTTCTGCAAAGATGAAGCACTTTACCAGGTAAAACAAAAAGAGAGAGATTCCGTGCAACAGAGTCAAGGAAATGAGCTGCTGCTATCACCTACCACAGTCCTAAAAAGGGGTGTGTGCAAACAAACACAAGAAAACGGTGCAGCACTGCCCCTATAGCCTTGTACAATTGCAATGAGGTATAAATATGGACACTCGCACTATAGCGCACCTCCCTCTAAAACCGCACTATCCCTAGTGCATAGAAAACTAGGCTGCAATGTAACTAAAAATACATTATATATATATATATATATATATATACATACACACACACACACAAATGTTCAAAAAAATTAAAGGAACACTTTGAAAACACATCAGATCTCAATGGGGAAAAATCTCCTACTGGATCTCTATACTGATATGGACTGGGTAATGTGTTAGGAACATAAGGATGTCCCATCATTTGATGGAAATGAAAATTATCAACCTACAGAGGACTGAATTCAAAGACACCCCAAAAATCAAAGTGAAAAAATGATGCAGCAGGCTAGTCCATTTTGCTGAAATTTCATTGTAGCAACTCAGAATGGTCCTCAGTAGTTTGTATGGCCCCCACGTGCTTGTATGCATGCCTGACAACGTCGAGGGAGGCTCCTAATGAGATGATGGATGGTGTCCTGGGGTATTTCCTCCCAGATCTGGACCAAGGAATCACTGAGGTCCTGGACAGTCTGAGGTGCAACCTGGCAGCATCAGATGGACCGAAACATGATATCCCAGAGGTGTTCTATTGGATTTAGGTCAGGAGAGCATGGGGGCCATTCAATGGTATCAATTCCTTCATCCTCCAGGAACTGCCTGCATACTCTTGGAGACACATCAAACCTTCTGGCAATGGCACGTATTGATGTGCCATCCCGAAGCAGTTAGACTGCCTGTGCAACCTCTGTAGGGTCCAGGTATCACCATGCTACTAGTAGTGACACTGACCCTAACCAAATGCAAAACTAGTTAAAAAAACAATCAGAAAAGATGAGTAGGGAAAAAAATGTCAGTGGTCTTCACCTGTAAAACCATTCCTGATTTGGGGATCATCTCATTGTTGCCCATCTAGTGCACCTGTTAATTTCATTAACACCAAAGCAGCTGAAACTCATTAACAACCCCCTCTGCTACTTAACTGACCAGATCAATATCCCAGGAGTTTAATTTGCTATACTCTGATTAAAAAGTGTTCCTTTAGTGTGTGTGTGTGTTCCACTCTGACCTAATCATATTGTGCATAAAGGATGTATAACTTATGTGATCAGTTAGATACTACAAACTATAGTGCACCTCCCCCTAAACACACAATATTCTTTATGTGGAAAATTGTATAACACATTAATTAACTCACAATGTACATAAATGAAGAAAACGTGATCAATCCACAAAAAAGTCTCTAGATCTTGTGAGTATATACAATCTATTCTGACATCTAGTCTTCTCAGTATTCACTCTGATATCTGACATTTAGTGCTGTTTAACATCCAGTCCTCTCTGTGTTAAGTGAACTGATTCTGTTCCTAGGCATTGGTGACATAAAATCGTGCTCATGCGTGCTCCCCTTTTTTCACCGCACTCACCGCAATTTTAGACCCTTATAAAAAGCAGGTCATATGTGCTTCAATAGATCTCCAATAGGGATGGATGGTTGCAGGGTATTGGTGTATCTTCCCCATCCTAGCTGGTTAATTCCTTTTCCATACAGACCATAATATGAGAATCCATAAACAGAGAAACCCCATAGTGTAAATCCGTTTATTAATATAGAGGAATACAAAGTATTGCACTTACAGCTTAAAAAAGATGTAGGCACTTCAAGGATCACTGCAAAGACTGGAAAGCCGTGTGTTCCACCGAAACCGGAAGTTGGAAATGGCATAATTAGCTTCGTCTAACGCATTTCATCATTGTAACATAATCAGGAGCGGCGCCCATCTTACCCCACCTCCTTCCTTTTATGCGCAATGGTGACCCAGCAACCAGCTCAAACATAAAAACGGCAGCCATGTTAGTGGAACCTATACAGCCGTGGATTGTGAGCATGATTCTTCCAGGTTACTAGCAGTCAGCACTGCACAATCTAAATAATACATCCTAGCAACATTTCAATCCTGCGGAAAGTCCCCTAAACGTTACTTGGGCACAGTGGTAAGTGACCTAACATGCTATATAACAACCTTTATGCAGACTAAAAAAATATATATTTATAAAAAGATATAAAAAAGAGAATAAAAAATATATGACAAGAAAAAAGGGATGTGAATGAACACAAAAGGTGTAATGCCCATACGCAGACTGCCTGTCAGGGATCTTGTCACCGTGCAGCGGTTCGACGGATCCCCTCGAGTCGCGGAGGTGTGAGTGCGCAGGTGCGGGAGTGTGCAGCCGCGCACGCGCAGTAGCGCGGAAGACTCACGCATGTGCAGTAAGCGCACACGTCACGCGGGCTATTTAAACCTGCTTAGTAGTAAAATCATTGCCTTCTGGTCTACAACATTCCTGCACACATTCCTGATATACCTGTATTCTGCATTACCTGACTAAGAAAACCTCTGCCTGCACTGACCCCGACTATCCCTGACCATTCGTTTGCCTGCTCCTTCTGTATTTTATCTGCCCGCTTGATACTGACCTGACTTGTCTGACTCTGCTACATTATCCTACATGCACCTGCACCTGGCCTGCATCTTGTCGGCTACCATACTCACCTGCCGCTGCAACCCACGGTTCTGCATCTGGCCTGCATCCGGGTCACCGGCATACTTGTCTGCCACTACATCCATGCACCGGTGCCCGGTCCCAATCCGCATCCTGACTGCCGCCACACCTGCTTGCTGGTGCACCTACGTTCCTGCACCCGCACCTGGCTTGTGTCTGGATCTCCTGGGTCCCCAGCTACCTGCCATCAGCTTCAGATTTACACTCCTGGCTCTGCGCCCTCTGTTCCCACTATCAGGGGCTCCGAGCGGGAGTTGTAAGAGGATGCCCTCTCTCTACGCCAGGCTCCCCAACCAGGTATGTGACAGTACCAGAAGGCCATGTCAGAGCCTGAGAGAGGGGCCTCTCCTCTGGAAGAGATCTGCCAACACATTGTGGCACTAACACAAGCCGTCAAAGGCCTGCAAGAGGGGTACAACCACCTGGAGGACCGTTCCAA